AACATTTTTTTTAAAATGTTCTGCATGAGCCTGACTCTTCATAGCTCAACCTGCATCTTCATATCTTGCCCCTCATCCTCCCCTTGTCTAAATGGTAGGTCAGGTCAATCTAGTTATCCAGTTATCCCTAGTCAACTGCTGAAGAAACTGAACCTCAAAAAGGTGGGACTGCTGGTAACCCAGCTGGTTAGTGAGAGGGCTTAGGACCATTACTAGCTCTCTGCATCTCACCAGTGCTTTCGCCACTAGTTGCCTTCCTGGTTTCATCACAGGGTGCGGTACCCTCCTCTGTTCCCAGAAGAGCTTTGAGGGGTGTGTCACAGGTGTTAGTGACCCAGGCTCTCTCAGTCTGTTAGCCCAAGGTCGCCTCCCACTGCCCTGTGAGGTGTATGGGGTCCAGGCATCATCACATCTCCCCCTTGGGGGAGAAAACAGAAGCCCAGAGGGCTGCCTTCTGGAGGCAACACAGCTCCAAGGGTGCACTTTCCCTTTTGCCCAGTTTCCCTTTCCTGCTAAATTTGACTCATAGGTCATGGGTGTGTGTTAGTCACTCAGTCGTGTCTGACTCCTTGTGACCCCATGGGCTGTAGCCCTCCAGGCTCCTCTGTCCATGGGATTCTCCAGGCAAGGATACTGGAGTGGGTTTCCACTCCTTTCTCCAGGGGATCTTCCCGACCCAGGGACTGAACCTGGGTCTTCCGTGTTGCAGGCAGGTTCTTTATTGTTTGAACTGCGAGGGAAGTTCATAGGTCAGTTGTTCTCAAACAGGGTTTCCCTTGGAATTAACTGCAAGATTTAAAATCTTGCTGCCAGGACCCAACCCCCAAAGATCCTGACTTAGGCACAGAGCCCAGGGAAGCAGCGTTCTAACATCTCCCCTGTGATTCTATGGTGCAGCAGCATTGAGAACCACTGTCTCAGGTCATCCTCTTACAGCAATGTAGGGAAATCTGAAAAGATGCTGGCAAATTCCCAAACTCTATTTCAGACCAGGGTTCCAGCCCTCCTAAAGCAAACCATGTTGTTTTGCTCAGATTCATGACCACTGGTGTTTCAAATGAACTGTCAGTGCTGAAAGAGGATTGTAGGGGAACCCGGGAGATGGAGTGGTCCCAAAGCTGTCATGTCAGGCACCTTATGTATATGAACTCATCTAACTCGCAATCCAGGTACTAGCACTAAGAGGGCACTGCTGATGTTGCCTCATTTCACGGGTGAGAAGGCTGCACATGGAGTAGGTAAGTAACTTGCTCAAGCTGGTAGGGGCAGAGCTGAGATTTGAAGACAGAGAGCTGGCTCCAGAGGCCACTGTGGTAGCCACTTTGTTGTTCTGCAGGATGGCTTACTGGTTTCCACATGGCTGAGAATTGGTGCTCACCAGCTCATCCTTCACAGTGATGCTGAGACCTAGATCTGATCTGTCACTCTGTTGCTCAGGAGCCTCTGTGAGTCTCCATAGCATCTGGTCATCTGTCAGGGGGGCGAGGGGGCAGGTGGCGGGCGGCAGTGAACTCTTAGCACAGCCTGTGAGGGATCCCCTTTACAGCCTGAGTGCTGGCAGACTGTTCTTTCAGATTTCGTGTCACATGTGCTGTTAATACCATCTGCAAGTTTCCCCACTTTCCCCTGCCTGGTGAATTTCTGCTCTTCAATACCTAGCTCAAATATCCTCTTCTCTCATCTATGCAGGACGAGTCAGTGATGCCTTCCTCTGCTCCCAGAGCTCTTGGTCCCTCCATCCAGGACCACGTGGCCCGCAGCGTTTTCCTCAGTGCCCTCAGAGCTCCCAGAGGAATGTGGCTCTGTCTTGGGCTCTGCTCATGGTTGTTTTTCCCTCAGCATCTACCAGTGGGTGGTCAGCCTCCCAAATGTAGGATGATCTCCTTTACCTTAGCTTCCACTTTATTTCAGCCATGAAGACGTATTCTCTTTGCCTTCTGGATATTAGAACATTTTTCTGTTTGTAATGCATGCTTTCCTTCAGGGTGCCTCGGGTTCCACGTTGCATAACTGACACTGATTTACTGTGTTTTCTTAGGCTGAGCAGTGATTTCGGAAGCGTTCTGAGGTCCTGTGGAAGGTCTGCCTCTCTCCAGCCTTGGGTTCTCTGCCTTCTTGAGCATCTCAGGGTCCAGAAGAAAAAGAAGAAAGCCTACCAGTTCTGGGAGCAGTTTGGATGAAGAGAGGTAGGTGCCTTGTTTTGTGTTCAGCTTGATTCCTGAATTCAATCACCACGAGCCAGTTAAGGCAGAGGCAGAAGAAACGGTGTCTTGGCGACCCAAGAGGTGCATATTTGTTTGCTCATGTGCTGTTGTGAGAAAGTCAGCAGTTGCTCAACACGGAGTAGGAAGGCGCTTTTCGGGGAGTCCCTGCTAGTGTCTGAACAGGGCAGGTGCGCCAGGAGCCATCAGCTGCCAAGGCGAAGAGTGAGGTGCCTTTCTTATGCCTACTGTGACGGGGGCAGGAAAAGTCAGGCTTAGAGATGCTGGCTGAGTTCTTAGAACTTATTCTGCACAAACACATGCATAGGTGCAGGTGATGTGAATAGGGTCTTCATCTCAACGTTGCTTGAAATAACCGACGGTGAAGCTTTTTTTATTTACTTATTTATTTACTGACATGCAATGCTTAGTTTCTATTTTATTTTTAAAATAAAAGTATAGTTGATTATACTACTATTAGTTTCAGGTTTACAGCATAGTGATTCAAAACTTTTATAGATTATACTCCATTTACAGTAATTATAAAATGTTAGCTCTGTTCCCTGTAGGCTAGTCAATTATTTTATACTTAGTAGTTTATACCTCTTAATCTCCTAACCCTGTCTTCAATGCCTGGTTTTTAATCAGATTCCTGGCTATGTGAAGAAACAGAAGACTATGACCCAAATTTAGGGTGGAAAAATTGTTAATAGAAAGCAGTTGGAACTGAGATTTTTGAGCTAAACTTATACTTGCCTGATCAATTGATTTTATTATTATTATTATTATTATTATTATTAGGTTTACAGAAAAGTTGAGTAGAAAGTACAGAGTTCCCGTATATCCTCTGTCCCCACGTACAACCTCCTTACTAGCAACATCCTTCACCAGAATGGTATATTTATTACAGTTGACAAATCTGACATTCATTGACATCATTATCACCCAAGTTCATAGCTTGTGTTAGGATTCTTCACTGACATCATTATCACCCAAGTTCCTAGTTTGTATTAGGATTCACTCTGGGGTTGAGCATTTTTTAACAACTGTGTAATGCCATGTATCCACCATGGTGGTATCATATGGCATATTTTCACTTCCTTAGCAGTCGCGTGTGCTTCACCTATTCATCTCCCACAGTGAGACACAATTTACCTGCTCCTTAGTTGGGTATTGCTTGACTGCATCACAGTGCCTCCATAGAATGGAATACTGCTCCAGTCTTCTTGCCTGGGAAATCCCATGGATGGAGGAGCCTGGCCTAGAGTCAAACAGGACTGAGCGACTTCACTGTCACTTTCATACAGCTCTTAAAAGGAAGGGTGGCTTTATATAGTGAAGTGGAACAGTCTTGAGGTTGTACTAACTGCTGTTGGCCTTAACCATGTGGATTTTTTTAAATTTATTTTTTATTTTGTTTTTTACTGTTTTGTTTTTATATTCGAGTATAGCCAATTAACAATGTTATGTTAGTTTCAGATGCACAGCAAAGCAGACTTAGTCACACATAGATATGCAACCATTCTCTCTCCCCCAGACTCCCCTCACATCCAGTTAACAAAGTTGACTTAAAAAAATGAAAAAAGGAGGGCATGGCACAGCGTGCAGACTGTGCTGACGGCTCCGATGGTCCGCATCCACCACTCCCAAATCAGCTGCCTAGACTTCCTGCGTCTGCATTTACAATCTGTGGTTCCCAACTCTGCTGATCTGTGAGTCCCAGAAGACAGACCCCTCCTTGATCGCAGGATATGTTCATTTGCAATGATAATTATTGTCTGGACCAAGCCCAGATCCAAGCATACAATAGCCTTTCCCTTAATATCTGTGAACACCTGAATGATGAATGCAGGGGAAGTTTTCTTTCCACAATGCTCTCTGTCTCCTACTCCTCAAATACACAGGCAGAAGTGGAAGCACTGGGTGTCCCTCCTCCCTCTCCTGGGTACCATCCCTGGCCTCCCCTTCCCTGCTTCGAGTTTCGATGCTCTGCCAGGCTTCTTTATTCCCCAGGTTACAGAGACTCGAAGGAGATGGGAAAGCAGCTTGAAATGGACCTTCCAGAGGATACTGTGTAGCTGACTCTGTCCATTGGGCTGATGTGACTTAATTGATTAATTTAGCTATAACAGCCGAGCGACCCAGCAGCTGATCTGACAGCAGGTTGGTGAGTCAGACCAGACGGGTCTGATTCCGTGAGCTGGCATGGCTGCCTGTGTGACCTTGGCCGTTTTGCTTAACCTTGCTGAATCTCAATTTCCTGACCTGTAAGTGGAAGCTGAAAATGCTTCCCTTGGGGTTGTCGTGAGGATTAAATGCGATCACATAAGTGTAAGTGCCCTTTGAGGAAAGAAGAAGGTGAAGGCGCCTACTGAGTCAGGAGAGAAGTGAGGCAGGCCTGCTGGTGTCCTCTGGGGCCTCATCCTTCCGGAGGAAGAATCCTGACTCCCCCAGTCAGATGGATTCTAATTTGGCTCTTAGTCTCTTATTCACTGCGCTCCTCTCGGCTGCCCAGGGCTTTCAGCTTAAGCAAATAAATGATCCTGCTCCAGAGGGCTCTGTGTTCTGTGGCCAGCCATGTGTTTGAGCTTGATAGAGATTCTTATCCGGCTGGGTAATATTACACAGCAAGGGATGACATTTCTTATCAGGAGCCCTGTTGAATCCGAGATAGGAGCCCTTTCTTTTTACTGGCAGCCAGGCCTTCGTGTGCAGGGCTGGCAGGGAGGGTCCCGAGGCGGGCAAGGGCCCGGGAGGTGGGCAGCTTGGCCGGCAGTGGCATCAGCTGGCCCTGTTCTCTCAAGACAGCCACTCCCAATGGCCTGCCTTGACTAAAGAAGGCCACATGAGATTTCGGCATGTGATAGGAGCAGGGCAGGGCCCGGAGCGGGAATGAGGAAGGAAGGAGAGGCATGATGCTGCTGGACCAGCTTGGGGTGGAGGCATGTGTGCCATCCTGCCCTTGTACAGAGAGGCGGGCGGCCTCCTGCTGTGGATCTTGGCTGTGGGAGTGATGAGGCCCTGGGTAACCTCCGTGACCCCACCTGAGGGCTGACCTGTGTGGATGCAATAGGCGGGGTGCTGCATGAGGCTCCTGTGCCCTCGGGCTTCCGTTGCAGAGACACTGGCAGGCCCGACTGTTAGGAAGGGAGTGAGATCAGAGTGTTTGTTCCTTCGCTTCTCCCCTGCTGGGTCCCTGAGTGGTACAGGCAGGGTCTGCACAGAAGGGCCTGCGTTAGCATCCTGACTCTGGGACGCATTCGCTGTATATCGGGCGAGTTGTTTACTTCGCTGTGCCTCGGTCTGTTCATCATTTTCTTGCCCTCTTTCATCACTTGCCTTTGGGTTCCATTGATCTCTGTGCCTGGGTTTGGCCCTAAGGTAACGGGGCAGGGGCACCACAGGGTCACCCAGGGCCTGAGGCCAGAGTGCCCGATGGACAGAACTCCCGCATGGATGCAGGCGGCCCGAGCGACCACATGATTTGAGTACTGCAGCCTCTGTAGGGGTAATGTGCCCAGGGTTCTTCCTCTCCTGTTTTTTTGGGAAGCCCTGTTCTCAAGGCATAATCTTATCCTCATTAGAAAGGGAAGGAGAAGTGGTTTCTCCCTCTCCCTGGCCCCCTCTCCAGCCAGCAGTCCTGCCTCTGCTTGCTTCCTGTTGACGCCACTTCCTGTTTCCTTCCGCCACCTCGCACCCCCACCCCGCCTCCCACCCCGGGTCTCATGTCATCTGTGCTGTTTTCCATGCTCCTCCCCATGGCCAAGTCCAAATTCTGAAAGCACAGCTCCGATCCCGTCCCTCTCCACTTGTAAAAATAGCCTGACCTCTCAGCGTGATATTTAAGGCCCAACTGATTGTCACCCCACCCCTGTGCTTTGATCACGGTCACCCTTGTGTGGGGCATAGGTCACGGTAAGCAAGGCCTTATCCTTGTCTTTCGAACTTGCCAATGCCTTTCTTTGACTTTTATGACTTGTTTGTGGCCTTTCTTCTTTGGAAGCTTGAGGGGTTCGTGGGCTCTGGCCAGCGACAGGGCTGGGTTCAACCCCAGCTTTACCAGCGGCTGGCTCTGAGGCTGTGAGCAAATCACTTCACCACCCTGAGCCTCAGTGTCCTCAGCTGTGACATGGGCATCTCATTCCTGTGCCAGGGCTCTCATGAGAAGAACCTGTCTGAAGGTGTCTGCTGGAGTCTGGCTCATGGCAGGTCCTCAGTAAGTGGGGACTCCCCGCTCTCTAACGGCCTGTCCCACTCTATCCTGATGCACCTGAGCTCAAGTTCCATCCCATCTTTAGCCTTCTCTCTGGGCTCTTCCACCTGGGAGTCATCTTCCTCTGTTGGAAGTTCTCTGACCTCCTCTTGTCTGGAGAGCAGGAACAGACCTCTTCTCTTTCTACCCATGTCTGACTTCCTGGCATGATGTGGACTCCTTTAGGGCATTGGCTGGTGGTTATGGTTTTGGCTTGGCCATGGGAATCAGTGATTTAGTGACTGAGAAGCTGACACCAAGGGAATGGAAGAGAGTCATCTGTTCTCTCATTGAATGTAGTTCAGTTGGTATCTGGTATTGTTGGTATATGGTTTATGGTATGGTGGTGGTGTTCAGTCACTCAGTTGTGTCCGACTCTTTGTGACCCCATGGATTGCAGTATGCCAAGCTTCCCTGTCCTTCATTATTTCGTGGAGTTTGCTCAAATTCATATCCATTGAGTCAATGATACCATCCAACCGTTTCATCCTTTTGCCCCCTTCTCCTCCTGCCCTCAACCTTTCCCAGCATCAATATCTTTTCCAATAAGTTAGTTTTTTGCATCAGGTGGCCAAAGTATTGGAGCTTCAGCTTCAGCATCAATCCTTCCAATGAATATTCAGGACTGATCTCCTTTAGGATGGACTGGTTGGATCTCCTTGCATTCCAAGGGACTCTCAAGAGTCTTCTCCAGCACCACAGTTCAAAAGCATCAATTCTTTGATGTTCAGCCTTCTTTATGGTCCAACTCTCATATCTGTACATGACTTTTGGAAAACCACAGTTTTGACTCTACAGCCCTTTGTGGACAAAGTGATGTGTCTGCCTTTTAATTTAGTGGCTTAAAACAACACATTTAATTATCTTACAGCTCTATAGGTTAGAATCCAAGGTGGGTCTCACTAAAATCAGGGAACACAGTGCTAGTTCCTCTTGTGGGCTCCTCCAGCTTCTAAAGGTTGCCTGCATCCCTAGGCTTGTGGCTCCTTCATCCATCTATGAAGCCAGCTTCATGTCCTTTTTCCATGCCTTCCTTTCTCTCATCTTTCTCTTCCACCTCCCTCTTCGATTTTTAAGGACACTGCCAATTATATTGGGCCCACAGAAACAATCCAGGATCATCTCACTGTCTTAAGGTGAGCACTTTAGCCATTTATTTCCCTCTGCATCCTGAATTCCCCTTTGCCATGTAACCCAGTATAGTCACAAATTTCAGGGATTCGGGCATGGGCATCTTTGGAGGACTGCTATTCTGCCTATCAGAGCACATTGAGAATAGAGAATAGAGTCTTGCACACACTGTATACTTGTATACACATTGGTATTGATCAGCCTTAGCTTTCTCAGCTGTGAGATGAGTAGACATCCCATCTGATGTCTACACAGATCCTCAGAAAACCTTTGTTTTCCTGGACACATTGCCTCCAGGAGACGCATTTCATCCCTCAGTCTTGGATGGACTGGAGGCCATGAGTTTATACGAAGGGGGTGAGGTCAGTTTCCTAGCTGGCTTTGGAACAGACCAAAAGTTCTTTAGCATGATGATGACGCTTCTGATTAATTATCGTAATGACTCTCCTTTTGTTCTTACTATCAGACAGAGGAACCCCCTAGCACAGGGGACTGACCAACCAGCCAACAGGGCTGGGATGGGCCAATCCAGAGGGGCCAGCCGGTATCTCCATGTGACCAGCTTGTTCCATCCTTCATTTGACAGATCCCTCTGATCTTGCTGCAAAGAATAGATTGCAGGGAAAAAGAAACTTCCTGGCCCGACTGATACCAATGTGAAGGAAGCAGCTGCCTTTGGTGGGGGCAAGGAAACAAATTCCAGTGACACTGATAACTTCTCACCAGTTCTGCGTTAACTGAGGAACTGCTGAGCGACTGTAAGACATGTCCAGTAATGTGGGAGGGTGTGAATTCCTGCAAAGGTGCGTTAGAATCCAGCATGGGAGCAGAGCGTTATTAACCAGTAGGAGGGAAAGAGCCTGGGTTTGGGAATTCCTGGGCTTTGGAGGTTTCATCAGTGACTTTCCGTGTTACTATAAGGTCAACGACACCCTCTGTCCTCTCGTTTGCTTACAGTGGTAAAGTGGAGTTTGCTGGATTTCTTCCCCCAGTTCAGTTCAGTTCAGTTCAGTTGCTCAGTCGTGCCCGACTCTTTGCGACCCCATGAACCGCAGCTCGCCAGGCCTCCCTGTCCATGACCGACTCCTGGAGTCCACCCAAACCCATGTCCATCAAGTCAGTGATGCCATCCAGCCATCTCATCCTCTGTCGTCTCCTTCTCCTCCTGCCCTCAATCTTTCCCAGCATCAGGGTCTCTCCCCAAGTTGAAAGTAAATGCTATGGCAATGACCAGTGCTTAAGATGAAGCTAAGGAGAATCATGAGAAGAGCTTGATAGTTCTTTGGACATCACCAAGCTTACCTGGGGAAATGAGGCCAGAGAGGTGAAGAGTGGTCTGAGATCACACAGTCAGTAGCGAGCAAAGCCAGGTCCTGGAACCAAACATGGTTTCCTCCCTCCTTTTAAGTGGACATTCATGCTGCCATCTTTGTTCCTGTTACCTGTTGAGTGAAGCAGATGGTCCATTTCAGCCATGCCTGCTGACCTTATACTCTAGTCTTATTTGCCAGCCAGTGGCTTTGGTGGGGCTGGTATCTTCTTGCTTTAGGCACCCCATGGTTTAATTTGATGGGCTCTAACTGCTAGTGTCATTCTTTCTGCTGACTGTGAGATTCATGATGGTAAATCATGACTGTGGGCTGGGAAAGTTGGGTTCAGGTTTGTAGGACGAACTGATACGGAGTGGGGAAAATGCAATTTGAGCGTTACTTTTCTGTATCAGCTTGGCTAGGCTTTGATGTGTGTGTGTGTGTGTGTGTGTGTGTGCGTGCAGGCAGGAGACATTGACTCCAGCTCTCAATGGAGAAACAACTAGTACAGAATGAGAGAAACAAGTACAGAAATGAGAGGAATTTGGGGCAGACGTCAGTGGTCACAGTCTCCAGCTGGGAGCAGGTTGCCTGTTTCAGTCTCCCTTCTGCTTAGCCTCTTAGTTATCTGTCCTGCTGCACTCAGGGCGCATGGGAGCTCTGGAGTCAGTCTGCCTTGTTTCAAGTCCCACCTCTAACACTGACTGGTCCTGTAATCTTAGGCAAGTTTCATATTCTCTCCATGCCTCAGACTCTTCATCAGGAAAACGGGCTATTAGTGCTAGAGTAGAGATGTTTGAGGATTAACTGAAATACTAATCCTCAAACACAAACACATAATGTGTGTGTGCCTGTACCTGTGTATGCATGCATGTATGTATACACATGTGTGTATCCACTTGCACATGTAAGTGTGAATGTGTGTATATAGGATTGTATGTATGCATGTGTGTGTACACACATGACTTTATTTATATATATATACATATATGTGAACACACATGTGTGGTTTTATGCATGTATACATGCATGTACTGTGCTAAGTTGCTTCAGGCCTGTCCAGCTGTTTGTGACCCTATGGACTGTAGCCCACCAGGCTCCTCTGTCCATGGGATTCTCCAGGCAAGAGTACTGGAGTGGGTTGTCATGCCCTCCTCCAGTGGATCTTCCCGACCTAGGGATTGAAGTCACATCTCTCATGTCTCCTGCATTGGCAGGAAGGTTCTTTACCACCAGTGCCACCTGGGAAACTCATATATGTGGTTTTATGCATGTATACATGTATATGTATATATGAAAACATAGTGTGTGTAGGTATATGTGTATATATGGTTATGTGTGTGTATGTATATATATAAAGCCATATATAGACATATACATATATATAAATATACATATATACATACACACACATATACATATAACAGTGCAGAGTTAATATGACTATTTCCCTGTTTATGTTTGTAGCCTGCAGAGACGTCCCAGCCTGCCTTGCCCTGGGTCCAGTCCCAGAATTTTAAAACAGGTCCTGAAAGCTGGTGCCCAGCTGGGTCTTGAACCAAGGCCTTCTGAGGCCAACGCCTGGCTCTTCTCTACTGTGGGAGCGATTCCCAAGCCTGCCCTTGGAAAGTGTCAGAAGTATCCATGGGGCCTGGTAAAATGCAGATTATTCACAGACTCCAGCCCAGGCCTTGAAGACTAAGAAGTAGACCCAGACTGGGAATATTTAACCAGTCGCACTTGGTGACTTTGATGGAACCGCACCATGTGCACTCTGCTCCTGGCTGGACCCCCAGCTGCCCCGTGCCACCTCCGATGTAGCCATCTTCACTCTCCAGTGA